ATGTTCAGGATTTCTTTTAAAAGGCAAAGACCAAGTGCCGAGAGCAAAGCCTGCCCTTTAGCTAGATGTAAGCTCACTTTGTTTATTCCTTTCCTGGTCTGTGAGAGCTTTTAGTTCTCTCCCGTATATTGTTCTTTGCTTACCAACCCAGAAAGCCAGATATCAATATGAACAGTGCACTGTGTCATGTGTGTAGAACATCTGAAAAAGCACACACACCAACCTGTAGAGGTGGGGATGAAGCCTAAGGATGATTACTTCTGAATAATGGAATAAGACAATTTAGTGAAAACAAAAGGTCTTTATTTAAAACTTCCTAAAAGTGTGTGTGTAAGCAGCTGATTCCAGAGAACTTTACGGCTCTGAGGCCATGCTCCTGGGCTGTGCTCCACAGAGACCCCTGTGTCTGCATCTCACCATGTGTCATGCCCCATCGGTCACTCGCCCGGAGCCTGGCAGAGACACTGCAATCCATCTGCTCTATTCATCAGCTTTGACTGCAGTTGCTATTTTGGAGCTTTCAAATAGGCACAGATAACAAAAAGAAATTATTTTGTAGTTAATCATACGGTGTTGAAAAGCAGCTACTGAAATCAAGAAGCAAAATGTACAGGGAGGAGAGGCAGGAGTACAGACGTGGGAGAGACATACACTGATAAAAGACATGAAGTGTCATGGACATTAAGTAGATGAACAAAGGTAAGGAAAATACACATGCTGTAGAAACTTGAATTTTAAATTAATATCAATTTATATTGCAATATCAGGGTTATACTTTATAGCTGGAACAAGAATTCTCTCATAAATCCAGACTAATCTATTTGGTCTGTAAGTAATGGACTGAGGAATGACTCACTCTTCCTCTGAATTTATAGGCTGTTATTGTTAATACAAGGAAGTGTTGCCTGTTACATTCTTTGGAAATGAAGGTGTTTCCCCAAGTATTTTCAATGCTATGGTACTTCCCTAATCATGGTTACCAGGGAGAAGGTTTGCACTGGCTCATGCTATGAACCACCTTCCTGGACTACCCTGGAAAATGTGTTGAGATATTGTCTGCTACCTCCCTTCCCAGGCATTCCTTGAAATTGCCTTGAAATTCTCATTCAGTCAGATTCTGGTAAGAGCAAATGTGTGTGTATAGACACAAAAATGCAAGCAATGTCAAAGAAAGAAACCCACACAATTATCTGCCTGTTAGGTTAAATGAGGGTATTCCTCCTAGCCTGTATAGAGTAGGTCACAGGTTGTAGAAGTTGTTGTCCCTGTGGCTGAAGAGTCATTTCACAATGAAGTCTTTGATTGTAGCAGTGTAAGAGGGTTAAGGGTACATATAAGCTGTTACACCCCAACCAGTTTTTGCTGTTTGCTTGGATTTCATTTGTAGTTTAGTCTCTTTTTCCTTCTCCCTCATTCCTACACTTCTGTAAGAATTACTGACCTGTTACTCAGTTATAGATGCCATCTGATCTGTTAAATAATGCCAGTTTTTGGAAAGACTAGGATCCCTTTGGCTAGATTTCCTGTAAGGCCCTAGGCTGCCTTTTTGGCAGATAATTTTCTGTACTTGATTAAACTGTTGCTAAAATGTGGATTTAATGAAAAGGAAAATGATGCTTCTCACCTGCTAAGGAAACACAAAAATCTCTGGTTGGAGCCTTTTCATGCTCTGGACCTTGTGAGCATTCAGTTCAGCAGCTTCATACAGGTGCATAAACCAAGACTGAAGTATGCATCACTGACTCTTGAGTTAGTCTAGATATGACTCTCTGCAGACCACTTTGGAGGGTGATAAAGGGGTTGGGATGATTGTCTTTTTTTTCCCCTCTTTAAACTGTTCACCTGCTTCTCCTTGCTTGTCTTCCTAAAAGTCATGGAGCTGAGCCTGTTGCTTCTCATATGATGGCAATGAAAAGCTGTGATCCCATTGTAGGCTTAGTTTCTCAGTCTGTGATGCTGGAGCTTTTCTGATGTAATGATGAGTCATTTCTGACTGTATTAACATATGGCCAGAGCAGCAGGTGATGCACTTTTATATAGTAAGCCTTTGTAATTAAGGATACCAGGTTTTATCTTACGGACTGGAGGCTGTTAGAGCTCCAAAGTTGGTTTCCAGGGTCCTCGTAGGAGGCGCTGCATGAAAAATCTGGCGCCTTTGCATAGCTACATGATTGAATTCAGTAGGTTTGCCCTTTGCACTTTGAAGGGAGTAATTCTCATACTACTATTTTTTATCTTGCACGAGTCTTTTGATTTGCCATTGCCTTAACTTCTTGAGAGCTAATTATAATTTCTTCTTTGCAAGGAACCATTGTAATAATTGGAGGAGGGGGAAAGCCTGCAAAGTGTATTGCCACCCTGAGCTATAAATGCACTATGGTAATGTGAAGTGTCATGCATAGATCTGTAATCCCTCAGGGGTAAGATTAGCCTTTGATGGCATCGTTCAGTGAAACTGCAGTGTGGACAGGTCTTTAAATTTAAGATTGTGAGATTTTATAATAGATTATAAAATAGAATTTTAAAATAGAACAGAATAGTGTTTGTCATAACCATTCTGACTGCAATGCTAAATTCATAATATCAGATTTATTTTTATACCTATTTGCTATCTTTAGCAAACTTAGAGAAGTCCCATCTCCTTAGATGTTTGGATGACAGCATTGTGATTGTGTTTTGATATGCTCTGTGTCTTTGTCGTGTCATTTGGTGCTAGCTTGAAAGAAAATACGTGCATGCCTTGTAGTTATGCACCTTTGCCAAATGTGTTGTTGCTATTTTGCTCAAAATCAGGGTGGAGGGCACGAGTGTCAGTGAAGGAAAGCAGCTGCTGTTCTTGCTGTTCCCTAGGGAAGTATTCTGTGTTTCTAACAGTAATGATGGAGGTCAAGCAGGACTTCTTCAGGTCAGCAAGGTTTCCCCTCTTCGAACTTGCTTGTGGGCTGTCCTGTTGTAGCCCAGTGCATTGTCTTAGTAGTCAAGGCACTATTGCTGAGTGTGTATTTTTGGTACCTGAAAAAGCATCTCCTCAGTCAAATGATTGCTGGATTTGTTTGTTTTTTAGGCATACTGTTGAGTGAATGACTGCCCATGCCTCAGTAGTTCAGCAAAAAAAAGCACCGATATGGTTATTTGCTTATTTTTGGAGAGGAAGCATTGTTTTTATTTACATGGTGTAGATCCCAAGCCCCTCTACTAACTTCATCAGTGTGTCTTTGTAGATACTTTTTCTTTCTGAGAGCAAAGACAGCCTATCATTTAACACCAGAAAGGCCCTTCTGAAATACTGTCTTTAGAAGTAATTCACTTGTACTGAGCTTGTAAATTAAGAACTATTAATATTATTTGGCATAGCTGTAATTTTTCTTCTACAACCAACAAATGCTGGAAGTTACTTAGTAGTTAGGCTAGCAAAAAGAAAAGACTAAATCAACAGCTTAATAATGTCCTCCTTTAATTACTTTTTGCTCTCTTTTTATATTCAATTTTACATTGAATGAAGTGTTCCTTAGAGTAACTCAGATGTTGATTAGTTAAATGGATTGTTCGTGATGGAAAAAAGTTTAATTGAAGTGGAAGCAAAGATCTTTGCATAAGTGTGTACCAGTCCAAGCAATATTCTTGTTTATTTTTAGCAGGAATATGACAGGAATATGACTGCTCAAAGGTAGTGTTTGTCATGTGTGTATTTACTGACTTCTCACTTGGGAACAAAATTTCTTGAATTATTTTGGTATACAGTGTTTTTACATTGGCTGCTTACTAGAGAGGAATTGCTGGGGAAGAATGTGAGCAGGATTCAGAGCCTCCAATTTCTTGGTGCTCAGTAGGAACATGGCCTAGAAAAAGAAAACAGTAGGTCATGTAACTGCATCAAATACTTAACCTGCATTGGGATCATTATTCTGATTTTTCAAAAGCATTTGTTTCTCTTCACCAAACATTTGCCAGCAGTCAAGGGTCCTTGCCTCTTCTTCTCAAGATGTGGTTGTTAACCTGTCTGGAAAGCAATGCAGAATAATTTTAATTTCAGGAGGTCTTATTATTAGACAATTTTCAAATTAATCTGTCTAGAGACAAACAGTTGTACAGCTATAGTGTATAAACCAGACACTGATACTGCTATGGAAACTTGACTGAATATAATACAGAGAGATCTACTTTGGTACAGTTGCATTTAGCTCGGAAAGTCCATATTGTGACTTTTCTGTGGAGAGGATGTGTTTCAGGAGCAAAGCACGTATGAGGTTGCTAGGTATAGCATGTGAATCATAGAGAGGAGTGGGTGCAGCAGACATGTCCTCTGCTGCTCCTTGGAGTAAGTACAGGTTGAGTTAACAGCATGGGTTTTGCTAGGAGGTGAATTTTGTCTTAGTGTCCTGGAAAAAGCAACATAGTACTGTCTCAGGTAAAAAGATTGCCTGTTACTGAGATGGTCTGACACTTCTTGTTAGGAGGCTGTGTTTTACAGTGCCTACAGGTTTGTAAGCTGGAACCACTTGGGCTGAAATTTTTATAAGTTGTTTGTCAAGCTTCAAGATGATACTGCTTTCTAACTTGTATCCTTCTGTTATTTCTGTATTGTCAAATAGGGATTTCTGTCTCTATATTCCCCAGGGCTGCTTTTAGACCAATTTATAACTCCTTGAAATCTGAGAGAAGCAATTTAAATTTTAGCAGTGAAATCTTCAAAATTTTCCTCCTTATTGTGCATCTTCCCATCTTTCCTCATGCTGGTACATGTATCCATCCCCCAGAGTGGCTCAGTGCGATGGTATCTGATGCTCCAGGGATGTGATTGGAGTGTTTCTACTCTGGCTGCTTCTGCATTGAAACAACCAAGCTGAGGATGGGAATGGGGAAAACAGAGAGCACAGGCGAAATCAAAGTGCTGTAGACAATGTGAAGGCAGGAATGGGTGGGAGGGAAAAGCAGAGTCCATAAGGAAGAGCTGTGGTGGGGGAAGAAAAGTGAATCTGTTTGGAAAAGGAGATTGGAGGATGAGGGAAGACGCAGCTAAAGGAGTTTTCCAAATGGAAAGCCGATTGAGGAGACTGGGAGTGGGAACTGTCAAGGGGAAAACAGAGGAAATGGTTGAGGTATGGTTCTTCACATGGACATGGGGAAGCAGAGGAATGGAGACTAGAATGAGGTTGAACAAGGATCTGGTGGTGGGAAGAAGCAGGATGGGACCCAAGGGCAGTTTGGATAGAAAGGGGCTAAAGTAATTTAAGCACAGTGTGAAAAAGGAGAAACAAGTTTTAAACACCATGGCTTACCATTGCTGTGGTAAGCCCTGCATTCGTGAGTCTCTGTTGTCAGCCACCAGTAAAATCCCCCAACACTGTGCAGAGGTGGGAATTTAAGAGGACAGCAGGCTGGGAACATTGTGTGGCCAAAATGGAAGAATTTAGATGGTTCTTTTAACCCAGTGAGACACTGAAGAACCTGAAAGTATCAAAGCAGAATTACAACCGTTTTATCCTCTTGGTGCTATTTAAAGGTCAGCATTTGTCTTCTGTTACTCTTCAGCTGTGTTAGATCCTCCTTTTTCTCACCATATAGTTAATGTAGCAACCCACCACCCTGTTTGAGATGCTGGTGATTTGGGACTCCAAATGCACAGGTTGAATCCCAAATTGGCCACTCACAGGCTGTATGATCTTGGATTAGTGAATTCACTTTAATGTGATTTTCCCTATCAGTAATTTGGGGATGATTTCTAACCACCCTCTGTAAAGGCTTTTTGCTCCACGAATGCCACAGTTCACAGAAGAGCTGAGATGCTGGTTGTGTTATTAATGACGTTTTTTTCTGTCTGACTGGTGAGTGTTTCCTTTTTCTCTTTGGACCTTTGTGTGACTGTGGTAGGACAGAAATTGAGAAGAAAGGAACTGCTGGGGATAATAGGTATGGTATAACAGAGACAGCTTTCTGTCTTATTATCCAGACTCACTCTCAGCCAAAACTGGATGCGTTTGTGTCTGCAGGCTGGACTGACTCAAACTTTGTAGGGAGTCATTTCAAAGACATATAGGCCTCCCTAATGATACTCAGTTTATATGAAATGGTTTTAAAGACTCTGGCTTTATTAAGTAATTGTGTGCAGCTTGGACCCTGGCACTGAGTACTCATTTTGTAGCTGTTGTGATAGTGCCACTTCAGCTGTGATCTTGTGGGCTGCAGGATCAGGCAGCGCCATGGGAATGTGGCAGGGTGAGAGACAGCTAGGAAGGGGGAAACTGCAGAATAGCATGCTTATTGTCATACATTGTTACATTAATGTTTTAAGACCTTTGTGCAGCTGCCCTTCGTTTGAACAAGGTAGCTTTTTTATTTCATGTTTATTCTTGTTCTTCTTGCTACTTGCAGCTGTCTTTGAGCAGAGAAAGTGCCTCAGTGCTGTGCTGGAGATGATTCAGATGTTGGTTTACAGTGTATATCTGTATCTATGAATTTGAATTTGAATTCAAATGAGAACCCGTGTCAATGTCATAGGTATCTAGCATTGAGAACCAATTGCTTTTCACTGGTTTGAGTTATATTTAGTACAATTATTATGAGTATTTCCGACTCTTGTCATTCTGTCAAAACTGTCATTGAGGAACATGCTCAGGTCAGAAAGCTTTAGGTATGCCTTACTGTTAAAGGAGAAGATACTATCATATGTGGCATAGAGATCAAGAAAATGTCTCATTTACTACTAGTTTTTGTAGTAGCAATCAGGGCATTGCTTTATGCACAGGAGTCTGTGAAAGAAGTCAGGCTCAGAAGGCAGTTGGCTGAGGAAAATGCACAGTTAAATCTTTCAAACTCTTGCAGTAACACCACCTCTTCTATTAAATTAGAATTTTCCCCTCTTTTCTGCTCCTTTTTATTGTTGTTTTTGTACTTGATGTTTAATGACTTTTTACAAGGGAAGGTAGTGATGGGACAAGGGGGATTGGCTTTAAACTGATAGAGGGTAGTTTAGATTAGATATTCGGAACAAATTCTTTAAGGGTGGTGAGGTGAGACACTGGAATGGGTTGCCCAGACAAGTCGTGGATGCCCCATCCCTGAAAGTGTTCAAGGCCAGGTTGGAAGGGACTCTGAGTAACCTGGTCTAGTGAAAGGTGTCCCTTCCCATAGCAGAGGGAGGGGTTGGAACTAGATGGTCTTCAAGGTTCTGTCTAACCCAAAGCATTCTAAGATCGTGTGATTCTGCGTTTGTGAGAGTGAGCCCAGCTGGAAGCCAGTAGGCTGTAGACTGGCTCTGCAGCCTGATATCTGTGCTGCTGCTTTGCTCCCAGAAGTTTTTGCAAGTTTGGTCCTCAACCAAGATTCCAAACCCTGCTGGGAAGTTGTTACAAGAAAGATTAAAGTGCTTAGATGTTCTTTTCCGGAACAAGCTCAATTCAGCTGGTTTTGAAGAACCAGGAGTTTGTGAACTTCAGAGGCTGATTTCCTGTTCAACTGCTGTATTCCTTTCAACCTCTTTCTTTAGTTGTTTCAGTCCTAGTTCCTCTTCTATAACCTGTCCTCAAAAGGTAACACAAGCCAGGAGTTGGATAAAAGTATTTTGACATTCTTTTGTCTCAAATTTGGGTGAAAATGTACAGATGCTGATTTTTTTTTCTTTGGGGAAAAGGAACTTTCACAAAACATTATATTGGAAATGTATTGACTAAATATACATTTTTATGTTACATTTCCATCTAGTGTAGTGTTACCTGTGCACCATATGATGCAGTTCCTCCTTACAAAATTGGTTCTGTGGCTGAACCCACTTCTTACAATGGGCCTGCAGTTATGCTTAGGAGTCTTTAAAAACTCGCTGGCAAGTCGATGTGCTTGCTTTTGTTATACTTATCTGTTGTCATAATATTTGCCTCAATGCATTGCAGGTTGAAAATAGTCCCTAAGCTGCTCCAAATTGTTCAGTCCAGTACTGTAGAGCAGTCTTCTTTGTACACTGACCTCTCATTACAAAAACATTTTCTTTGGATCATCTCCTCTCATCTATTTTCAGCAAAGAGAGTGTGGTTTTAATTCCTGAATGCTGTTCATGACTCCCAAGTTGAGAAATTCTGTCCTAGAATAAGTACCTTCAGTGACACTCCAGTGCACTGTCGCTGGAGCGCTGCATTGCCATTATCAGTCATGAGATACCTTGGCTAGTGAACAAAATACAGTACTGTAAACTGTGGGTAATATCATGCAATGCTGATATAAAGTGGACACCAAAGTGTAGCTAGTGTATGCTTCAGGAATGGAGAATGTAATTAGAAAAGATTACTTAACTGCTATGGATTTGTTGTTTTAGCAAGAGGAGGAAAAAAATCAAGGAGGTTAATGACTTAATCTTAGTCTGTGTCTATGTGAGCCTTTTAATCTTCCTTTCTCTTCTTAAGAAAAACATTTCTGTTTCCTTAGAGTAGTGACTGTACATTAAATAGCAGCTCTTTAGGATTTAAAATGTGACTTTCATCAGTTTTGCCCTTGTTTCTGGAGCTTGGTTCTCATTTTGCTGGATAGTGGTAAAAATGAGAACTACTTTATATCCCCCATCCAGAGAGTCAGGTTCTGGACTCTGAGAACTAGCAGAAATGGTCAAAAGTATTATGTAGACTTCAAATGCTTGGGCTGTATCAGCAGGGATGAGTCTCAAGTGAGATCTTTGTTGAACAGTGAGAACATGCACAGCTTGAGTCTTAGAACAGTGTGGATTTAGCTCACAGCAAAGCAATTTGGAAGAATATCTCTTTACTGTGGATGAATTATCATATCCTCTCGATTTGGGTACATGGTGAGTGGGTGAGTAAGTTAGCCTGGAACACTTAGCTGCCCAAAAAGAAAGGTTTTTTTAGGACCCACTTGTGGAGTATATATTTCTGGCCTTCAACCTTTTTTAATTCACTTCACATGAGAGTTGTGCATTATTTATAGTGAGTGTGGGAGATGAAAAGAGTACTGTGGAAGAAAGAAAAATAAACCTTTCAATCATGAATTCTGGTTTTGGCTGTGATGCCAGTTTGGGGCAAGATGCCAGTAATTTTGCACCCAAAATAGAAGTGCTAAAATCCCCCAAAATTCACCAGTCTCACTCATGATCTGAATATTTTCTCAAATTATAGTTAGGAAGCAAAGCACAGTCTTGAGGCATGCATCAGCCTCATGATGAGAAGAGCAGATCATCTTTTAAGTCTTTCTGCTGCTTTGAATGGCCTTTACTGGACAGAGATGACCTCTCTGTTTAGGTGTTGTCTGCTGGTTTGCTTTTTCAGCCTGATAGCCTTGACATCTCAGGTTTGGTCACCAGTGCTTGGTGTTCATGCCACGGGCCACACATCAGCAGCAGGCTTCATTTTGGCTGGGGGCAAGGCATGCCAAAAGCTCCCCCAGAAGGCATCTGGGTTTTGGAGCTCTGTAGGACTGTAGCCTTTCTACAGCTCTGGGGTTTAGCAAGGCAGATGAAACTCAGTGTAAAAGTTGAGCTGTGTTGGGCATAAGAGGCACCTGCCATCAGATGAATATGCTCTACTGTGCAGCTTGTTTCTGTCACTGCAGTGGTGCTGAAGGGGCATGAATGCAGTTTCATGGACAGCCTTGTGGTATCAGAACTTATTCAAGAGGTTTATTTTCCTGCACCACAGTTCAGCAACAACTCAATTGTCATGGGAGATTGTTTCGGTGATCTGGTATACTGTGTGGCCTCTCATGAAACTGCATTGGTACAAATGAAGGAACAGTAAGATGGGAGGGAACCAGACATGGGAACAAGCAGCTGAGAAAGGGAGCTTTGCCCACTGAATAAAATTTGTACTGCAGCTCATCCTGAAGTGTCCCACAAAGCAAGGCACTTGGAGGAGCTCTCTCAACCAACCCGGGAGGCTTTGTGTAGATCCTAAACACTGCATGGCACTATGCAGCAGTCCCACGTTTTCATTGAAAGCGTGCATCAAGTCTTATCCTGTCATGCTTTTCTCATTTTGTTTACAGCTGAACTATGTTCATTCTGTTTAGTGCTATGGTAAGAATTACTTCAAGAGTCACAGCCTTGTTTAGAAAACAGGAGTATTGTGTACTGCAACTGTCAACTCAGGTTACTTCTAAGGGA